GGGGAGGGTCAGTCTTTTTACCTAGGGAAAAAGTGACAGGACAAGAGCAAATGCCCTCAAGTTGCTCCAGGGGAGGGTTGGATTGGATATTAGGATGAATCTTTTTGTGGAAAGGGTTGCCAAGCATTGGCTTCCCTGATTTGCCAGGAAAGTGGTGGAGTCACCATCCCCACAATTACTTAAAAGATGTGTAGATGGGGCACTTGGGGCACACTGATTAATGGAGGGCTTGGCAGTGCTGAATTAATGGTTGGACTCAACCATCTTACAGGTCTTTTCGGGCGCAAATGGATTCTGTGGTTCTATGCATACTTTGAATTGATGAGTAGCACAGGGATGCCCTTAGGGGAAGAGAATTACCATCAGTTCTCACCGTGGAAGGTATGAATCATCCATCCTCATCTGCTTTTTCCCTCATGGGGAGGTAGGTGCTTCACTGTTGCTGAGGATGACAGGAGGCACCACCAGAGTTTTTCAGTTTTAGTAATTGGTATGTACTTCTCCCAGTCTTAGGTAATGGAGTAAAAGCACCTAAGTAGAGGGAGGGCAGGTGCCATTCTTCAGACACATTACCTTAATGAATCTCCCTCTCTTTTTAAGAAGGTCTAGAAGGCTTTCAAAGCTGCTTTTCTATGTATCTTAAATCAGTTGTCATTGTTAGCTGCTGAATGAAATTGTTTGTAGGCAGCAAAATTTTGCCATTTTCTTCCTTTTCCTTTAGTACCAACTTTAATGTTGTTCTAGCTTTGTAGGCTATAGGTGAGGGGAGGTATCAGTGAGGTGTGATATTCAAATTCAGTTTGGACTATTGCTTATATTATTGTATGATTTATTACTTGTTTTGTGCTTTGGAAGCTCTCGTTGATAAATTACGTAGGTGACAAAGGCTTCCATAAGAAGCAAAAAAGCCCATGTGTGTTCTTCAGATATTCTGTTGAAAGAGAGAAATGAAAAGAGTAGACTGCTAGAGATTAGATGATTGAGTTAAAACAAATATTTTAGTATCTTTGCATTCCTTTTAATATGTTTAAATGGACTACTTAGAAAACACTCTATTGTACAACATTCCCCAGAGATTTGGGTGAAAAGGTAGCCTATTAAAATCTTCACTAACCATACTGTCAGTGTTTCTATGAACTTGCTGAAGATGACATGTTGAACCAGATCATAACAGTGCCTTAACTAAAATTTATTTTCTTTTAGTTGTTTTTGAAAAAAAGGCAAATACTTACCAGATGACCTGCTTGTTCTAAATAGACCTGTCAGGCTGCTGTCACTAAGCATGTTGGAAGTGTTAAGCCAAAACCTTAGAAGAACCATTCCTCTCTTACGCACACCTTGCACACCATCTTAGTCTGGACTGTTTTATGAATATAATCTTCTTCTGCTGCTAGCTGGCTTATTTTAAAAAATGACAGTTCTCTCAAGCGACACTCAAGTGTTCTAATTGATGCCACCCTTTCCTGAAACTCCCTTTTCATTTGATAACCATCTTCCTATGTCTCTAACAAATGAAGGTATAAGCTCCCTCAAATCAGAGCCATCTTGGCTATTATCACCCTGTCTACCAGCTTATAACATGCTTATGTCATCATATCATGGAAAAAGCTGTTTAATTTCCTTCCCTGGAAAGCATACATAACTGTACCAGTCCTTTTAACACTCTACCTTTTGAATATTTTATTTCTGAATAGTAGTATTCTTTCATTCACTGAGAATTCTGTTCCTAAGGGGCTTTTCCATTTTTAGTGTTATAAAGCCTTAAGAAATTTCTGTGTGGGTTAGGAGCAACTGTGATATTCAGACCCACCACATCACCCTTTTATTACCTGAGCTAATGAAGTGACTAGCAGAACACTGGTACCTGGAAAAACATGCCCAACACACTTGCTGTAGGTCTTTTTCTTACTGTAGTAAGAGCCTGCAGAAGAATGGATTTGATTCCCTCTATGCTGAGGAAATCATGCTAATCAGTTATGGATCTTCCTGGACTTTGAGTAAAACTTAGGAAATCAAAGAGATCTCCCAGCTGTGTGGTAACTTCCTCATGCTGATCTTCATGTGCTTGGCCCGTGTTGGGAAGGCACAGCATCTTCTAATTTAAGTGAAAGTCTACTTCAATAAAGTCTAAGCAAATTGCACTCCACAACCTGAAATGTAATTCTTAGAGAAAGAACTATTGTTAGTTACTTCCAAAATAATTGAGATATTTTATTTTTGACACCAGATTTTTTTTCTTGCTCAGCAAGAGAGTGCTATCTGACAGTGCTTAAAGATCAAAACTGGTAGCCTGTAAGTCCTGTAATCATGGCAAATAATGAAGACAGGACATTTGTTACGTCTTTGTGATGCTTTATGGAAGCTAGGAAGCACTGATTCCAGGGTTTGAGCATGCACAGTTTAAAATTACTTATGCTCCTGCTGCTTCTCAGGGAGAGATTGTCCCACAGTCTCAAAGACTTCTTACTGTGTGGAAAATGCCTTTTCCTTCCCTTCTGCCTCACATTTTCCATTAACAAATTTTTATCCCATCTTGTACACCCACTCAGCTAGTTTGAACTCATCTTCTGGGTTTTTATGACCTTCTAGTGCTAGTAGACATTTACTACATCCCTCTTGTCTAGTGGCCAGACTGTGTCTTGAATCTCTCTTTATAAATGTGCCCCTTCAGTGCCATAATCTCTTTTGATGGAATTTTTTTCTTCTTTGAATTCTTTCCTATACTTCACTCCATTTTACTGTCTCTGGATTCAGCTTGCAAGTTCACTTCTTGCAAGTAATCTGGACACCTCAGAATATACAGGAAAATACAGTAGGATGGTGCAGAGGAGAAATTTAGCAAGTCTCAAGAGCTTAGGAGAGCGCTCCATGCAAAAGCCACATGGGTGCAAGCATTGCATATTAGCATCAGATTTTCACCCTAATCTCTGGTGCTACAAAATAATTGGTTTAGAATTTGATACCTTTCCTTGCAAGAGATATAAAATAATCTGGGTTGACAGATGAGAAATAGATAAAAGTAACTTTTCAGAGATGCAGTGAAGGGTTATATTGAGAAGGTATGGCATAATAGAGATGAAGAAATTAGTATTTCTTTGTGCATTGTTAAAACAGTATCATGTTTTCATTCCTCCTGATTGTAGGGCACTGCTTCCAGCACTTAGCAAATTTGTGTATAACAGTTAATTTTCATATACCTGAAGTGAAAATATCCACTTTTTATAATGTAGCCCAAGTCATGGATACTGTTTTCATACTAACTTTCTCCTGGCACTGCCTACTGTGGATACCAGGTCCTGCTCTTTTCAAGGTCTTGTACCAGACTGCAGAGGTACTGCTTTGCATCATTTCAGTCTCTGTTTCCCAGACTGTCCATGTGTGTTAGTGACACCTCTGGCCTTTAAGGTGAAGGCTACTGATTATTTACAGCTTCATAAATATCTAATTGTAGAGTGCGTTACTTGAGGAACAACAGTGAGATATGACTTTTTCTGTTTGAATTTGTCAGGAAGCACTGAAAGTCAGCATGGCTGAAGCCCAGGGTAGACTGGACCTGTGTTACACCAGGGATGTGATGTACACAGTTATTCATAGCAGCACCTGGACAGAATGGAACAGGGGTCCAGCCTGCCCTTCCTCTGTGGCAACTCCTGCTTAAAGCAGAACATCCCAAGAGGAGCCAGGGCTGCCCTGAGTGACAGCTGACAAAAAAACCACAGACATGGAAGATTGAATTCTGTTGTTCTGCAACAACATGGACATCTGCAAATGAAGGTGCCAAGAACACATTCAGGAGGCTGAGACTACTTAGAAGATTCAAAAATAACTCATATTGTAGAAATATTTAGGAAAATGATAATTTGGAAGTAAACTAAATGCATTTTAAACTAATGCATTTTACACAAAATGCAGTGTAAATCCTTAAGTTGCCAGAGGAGTGTCATGGGTTAGTGTGCTTAAAGATCCAAACAAAACGATCATTACAGAAAAAAAAATAGCTCTAACTCTGCTTGTTCCAAGGGCCCAAAACTGTGAATAAATCTGTTTGGTATTTTTTTTAATGTTCAGTTGTTTTAAGTATTGACTTGGGGAAAAAATCATTCTGTAACAGCCAAACTAATGACAGTCCTTTATCAGGAAGGTTCTCTAAAACTCTTTGGTGTGTGAGAACTAATGCCATGGCAACAAGAGGTTTGCTTTTGGCAGATTCTGAAGCAGCATCCCTCAGTGCTCCCTGGGGAATGAAGTGGGAAGTGATAACCATCAGGACTTGGGGATGCTCAGGCAGAGAAACAATAGGATGATGTTGGTAACTGAAAGGCAGCAGGCCTTCTCACAGCTGCTGTATCAGGCAAGCCTCACAAATCAAAACCCTTCTTCAGATGCCCAAATTATATTTCTGTTGGCTAAGACTTTAAAAACTTAGAAAAGTTGCTTGAATTAACAGCTGTCTTTGGCTTGGTTTTTCACCTTAGTCAGTTGTTTGTGTATCTTCCTGGCCTCCTCTTTGGCTTCATTTTATTGCTGTGCATGCTTTAACTTTCTCCAATTACTTTTACACTTGCATTTTTTGAAGCAAACCTCTGACTCTACAACTCATCATGCCCTCATTCTCTCTTTAGAGAATAGGAAAGCAATGAATTATTTTCCAGCATTGCATACTGCTGCTTTCCACCCTGTTAAATTCAAGCATATCTTTCTACGATACTGCAGCAAACCAGAGGTTTCTTCTCAGTAAAAAGTATGAAGCAATTGACTCGGGAATGTTTCTGTCCAGCTATCTGCCATTGTGATGTCCTGTCTGCCAAAAACTTTGAAAAAAGAGAGAAAACTTTGGTACCTGCCTTTATCAGTACTACAAATATCAGCCTGGGAGAGGGCAGGGGTGGCTCAGCTGTTGGCTGTAGTAGGTAAAGAACCAGAATTAAGAAAAATACCTCCTCCTCTTGGCATGAGAGTGGAAGGATGAATGCAAAATAAAATAAAACTCATTATGAATATCCAATTTTAAACATTTAATAGTGCACTTATTGAGTATATTCTGTACAGACATCTATAGCAAGTTAAACATTTTCCTTTCTCTCGCGTAGATCATACTCATGTAAAGCACATTTACAATAGAAAACATACTTGAGGTACAAAAACCCAAAAAGAATATCTGAGGTATAAATACAGGTATATTTTAAATAATCTTTATCATGCTTAATCTATGTTTGACAGTACACTGTGGGCAAGTATACATGTTTACAATAGAATGGTATGTACAACATACAATTTTACAAATTCAAAAGTGTTTGATGTAGAAGAATATACAAGGTTTTCCTACTCACGAGGAACATTGTTACAGGAAGTACTACATTATTTGCCATTTATAAAAAAAATCTTCTTCAAAAAAGCTTAAAATAATACTGACAATGGTAAAAAAGTCTCAGTCAAGATTCCATCTTGCAACTCATTCATACTCTAGCCACAAAATACATTTATCACTTAATACTGCACCTTGAAAGCAAATCTTTACCTTTACAGTAAAACCTACAGAAAGACATCTTTCCAGAGGACCTCAGGACTTCCTACTGTTCATGTAAGTTGATTCTCAAGAAGGGAAGAATATCCCAAAGGGTCTAAAACACAACAAAACTGAAGACAAAACTGCACCCTCCTTTCTGCCTCCAAATATAACCCTCCAAACTGCCCACATGCAGGTTCTGTTCATGTTAACATGCAGATTTTAGGAAAACAGGCAAAGGGGGGGGGCGAGTAAGAGAGTTTGTGTGACTCTCTCTAGCCAAGTCACCCCAGCTGCTACTGCAGGAGTCCTGCCACCTCCTGGCACCACAACTCCAGTGTTGACTTTTTTCCTCTTGAGCCATTAGAATACAATAAAATATATAAAAGCTCATTAAAACACCTATAGATAAAGCAGGTAGAAGTAAAAGTAATGGACATTTTTGTTTCTTAACAACTGATGTTATTGGCTCTCCTCACCATTGCAGACATTTCATTTCTAAGCTGCTACATTGCTCAAAAGTGTATTTACTTAAATTTGTTATAGAATTGCTCATCACTCCTAAAAGATCATCTGGATAAGGAGTGGACAGTAGCTGAAGCAAGCCTATTGTAACATCTGCTTAGGGTTTTCAACATGTTTAGAGCTGAGCAAAAGGCAGAACTAGCACATTCGAAGGATGGCTACTCCTGGTCCACAGGGGAGTCCTATTCTAGGTTGAACTGTATCCAGTATACTAAAATCCATTCTGGTTGCCTATCAGTGTACCAGACACATTTCAAATTCAACTTCTTCTATCCTTTCAACCATTAACACACTCATTCACACTTTAATCTCTGTGCAAACCTTTCTCTGCTTATCTCAGTGAGAACACATTGAAGAGTACCAACTATTCCAGTGGATACACCAGTCCCTCAATGCACTACAAATAAAATGACATGAGTATGTACATAAAGCTAAGTATTTCACATGGGAATGATGAGCTTTCACCATATTTCATAATATATTTTGCATTTAAAGAAATTTGCTTCTCAGAAGCAACTCAAACCATCTAATAGGAATTATATTTTTTTTTTTTAGATTTTTATTTTTTGCACAGTTCTCCTATGTATTCCAGTCGAGGCCTACACTATAGACCTTACACAGACAGGAAGCAGCTTTAAAGTGTATGGTATGGCCACAGTCCTATAGTAATGCTCACAGTTAAGCTCTCACGCTGCCATCCCTCCATGACACGACTTGCAGGTGGAACACAGGTCTGGTCTGCAGCGTGCAAGTCTCAGTTTTGGGTCTATGTTGCTGAGGTGGGGACCGCATGGCTGTTCCTCTTCAGTAGTCACCTGGATTTTACTTCCTTGCTCTCAGGACTCTGCTGACTGAAAGAGTCTCGTATCTTAACAACTTCTGATGCACACAAGTGTCCGAAAGACTTGGTGTACCAGTCTGGCATGTGGCCCCTGTTGGGTGGAGGAAAAAGGAATGATGAGGAAGGTACCAGTGACTTTGCATGTATTTTCTTATTCACAATCAAATCTGTATCTACCTGGTTAAATGCCTGACTAGGAAATCTCCTTAGTACTGCTTACTGCACGGCTCAACCCTACTAGTATATAGATTTGCTGAAAAAGATGTTTGCCTCAGTAAGGAAAAGTTATGGAAAGTTTTGTGACAACCTGGTTCTGTTTACTAGCTTAGTATTAAAATTAACATTTCCTTGTATCCAATATGCCTGTTAGAGGAAAGGGTGGGGTTGCATACCAACAGGGATGGTGGAGTGCATACTGGAGGCTTCTAATGCAACAAGTTACTGCTGCCAGATGTGCACTCATCCAACTTTCTGTGACATCTCAGAGACCTGTGTGTTTGCCTTTGGGAAAGGTGTACTACTGGCCAAGCTAACGTCTGTTGAACCGTCCAAGTTTTCCACTGACCACACTGAAACTATACAAGAGAACTATACAACTATACAAAGGACAAAATGGAATTTCCTACCTTAAATCAATTCTGCACATGTAGGTAAGTTTGGATTTTCCTGACCCGCAGGGCTCAATCAGATACCTCGACAGGAGCACATTGACTCTAACACCTGCCACAGGAGCCCGGTCATGGTCCACTGAGGTTGCTAGAAGCACACAGGCTCCTTTGGGGAAGTTTGTCCTCCATGTCCTAAGAAAAAAGAAGAAAACCAAAAATCTTTTATTTGACAAACAGTAACTCAAGCATCTAATAAGAATTCAAATTAGGCACAAATAGATATTTAACAATATAGCTGATATGATAAAGAAATAAGCAAGGTTGCCATATGTGTAGGATATAAACATAGGAATGTCTCACCTTAAGACTACGAAGTCCCTGGCTGGCTGAGGTGCCATGCTGTTCTGGACATACTGGTATATATCAGTCTGGCTATCCAAAGGCTCGATTACTTTGGACTCTATAAGGTCTTCATCCCAAAGATGTTGCTCTTTAAGTAAACGATTTAAAACATCCTCTGGTGTAGCTGAGATTTCAATGGTAGTTTTCCATAATCGGAGTGGGGGACCTTCACACACCTGGGGAAAAGTAGCAGAGCCCTTAATTTTACTCTTCTTACACTTTATTTTTCAAGTTTATTTTTTAAGAATCTTATTGAAACACTTCTCCATCTGGTAGTTCTGAGCTGTACAAGATCAGGGATGAGAAATATCTTTCTTACTGTCTGCATAGTGACTCAGCTTGTTAAGGCTTTGCATGAGTGAGTGAAGGCATGTAAATTCAATACAGTGAACATTCCTGGGCTGAATAAACAGAAGAACACAAATCAGTGTATGTTGGCAAACTACTGCTGAAAGACATGGTGTTTCTATATGGTGTGCAACTGCATCACAAGATGAAGACTTTTTTTTAAGCATCTATCTGCAAAGTAAAGGTGCGTATTGAACCTTCTGTGATATCCTGTGTCACAAGTGAGCTAAAACCCAGGGCTGTGGTGTGAGTGGCAGGGTGCGTACCTTCTTGTATGCCAGCTCTGCTTGCTCTGATGTGGAGCAGCTGACCCAGCCTTTAAACTTCTCCTTCATCTCCTTGAGCAAGTCATCCACGCAGTCCTGGAGGTAGCAGTGGTAGTCAGAGGGCTCAGTGTTGCTGCTGCTGCCCCGGAGCTCCTCCAGGCTGAGGGGACGCAGGTCCTGCTCCGTGTACGAGTTCCGACCCCTGCTCATTTCCTCCGGTATCTGAGGGGAGACAAGGGTGAAATCATCCTCTTGCAGCTCTCTCCCCAGATCACTGCATTAGTCTAGCAGCTCAGTAGCCACAGGGACATGTGTGTGATAGTTTTGTAAGTGATGGGATGTGTTTGTGTCAGGTTAAGCACTCAATATGAAACAATGCAAAAATTAAGTTTGTGACTTTGATTTAACTCAAATTAGTCTCTCTTTTATGGGGTGTCTTATTTTATTCTGTGGAGTATCCCCCTTTACTACACAACTAGATTCATTCCCACAGCACAGTTTATCCTTCAAACTGAAGGAAGAAGGGAACATTGTCAGCTGCAAGGAAAGAGACAGGCATGTCTTCAGCTGAGGGCTCTGAAAAGATTTGATGACAGTGAGAAAAACCAGGACTCTACTTGTCTGGTTCTCCATCACAGGCCCTAGAGGGAGCATGTTTTAGTTTCTACAGATCCTTCAACCTATGGTTTGACAGTGTTACATTCCAGGATGCTTTTGTGGCCTGTCTTGCTAACTCTCGGGAATTTTAGTACAAAATAAGCACTGAAATTCCTGGAAATAGCTTCTTGCTTTGTAATTAGAGCTGAGGTCCACAGACCCTCATGGCTGCACAATAAAAATTTGAAAATGTATTCCAAATGCAGCTTAGATGCAGCAAAAATGTGCCAAACCCCACAACTGCCTCCTGACTCGAGAGCACCAGTGCCAACAAAACAACTCTCTTCCCTTCTGGCACCGCTTGTAATTCATGTATGCACACAGATCAGGAAGCAAAGGTTTTTAAAAAGCTATTTATCATGTGTTAAACATCATTAAAATAAAGAGACATTCCTAGCTTTTCATTATACAGCAGATCTAAGACATCTTAATCAATTTTCCAGCCATCAGTTTTGTAAACAAGTGTTTTACCTGAAAGAGTTTCTTACATTCAGCAATCATATGAGCTAGCCCTTGGGTTGCAGCCAGATTTTCATTTAGGTCCTTTTGGTCGGGTTTGCCCAGGCTTGGTTTCCTTTGCATCACCCTTCAGAGGGGAAAAGAGTACACACATACACAAATCCAGTTATTTGTTGCAGAGCAAGACATGTTTGGGAAGAAAACAGTATGATTCCCACATCTGCTGGTGATTTAGAGCAGTGCTGCCTGGTACCAAACATCGGCATGGTGTTGCCAACTTCTCTTGCAACTCTTTCTAAGCATTTTCTTTGGAAACCCCTCTCCCTACAAACATTTTTTTCTTTCTTATGAGCTTGTTTATAATTTAACAAATCTCCAACAAAAGGTAAGCTCCCGTAACTGTTCTACAGCCAGTGCTCTCTGAGGTGATCACAGCTGGCAGGATCAATCCCAGACTGTGCCTGTTGCACATCACTGCCAGCTGTGCTATGGGACCAGCAGCAGTGAGCCCTGCTCCCAAAAACATACCTTGGGGAAGAATTCTCTCTTTTGAGAGTGTTCAAGTGGAAGAGGGAAGGTGCTAAGCAGACAGCCAGGTTTGTTGGTGTCATCTGGTTTTCCTTCACTGCAGCTGTGACATCACTCAGGAAATAGAGAAGAATCTGGAGGACCTCCCTGTTCTCATCAGGTAAAAGCATAATGGCAGCCTTGATAGCCTGGAGACGCTGATCCTTTGGCACATCTGCATAATATTAGTAATTCTCTCATCAGCCCATTGATTTTCCACACACACAGCATGAATACATCCCAAAGCAAACTCCAGCTTCAAATATTTGACTCGAGTTTGAAGTGACTTCCTTCAGAATGCATACCATTTGTAGGAAACATGAAGGAATGTTTTTTAAACCACTGGTTTAACTACCCTCAGCTATTTCCTGCCTCACAAGAAATGCAAGCAAGAAGCTGTGCCTAGGCCAGAGTTAATTTTAGATTTAGCTTCAGCAGCTACATGCTCCCGCAGATGCACTAAAAGGACAGAAACCTGGATTCAGGCAGGGAACATAGCAAACATAGTCCAGCCAATTTAGAAGTTCTTTGGCTTGCAAACAAATTTAAAACATGAATGTATTTTAGAATAGGTAAATTAAATAAATTAGCTAGCAAACCTTTTCAACAGTGATGTCATAAAACATCCAGAAAGTGCTTTACAGAACAGAGAGGGTTACTTTATTGAGCAGATCATTCAAAGTCATGCGGTGGAAAAAGCAAGTCCACGCTGAGAAGCCCCATACCATTAAACAGCTCCTTGGTTACGAACAACAAACAGCCATTGGAAAGATTTGATGTCTCTTTATATAAAGCTTTCTCCTACAAACTTGAAAGGAAAAATGAAATAACCCAGACCAGATCTGCTTCTTATAAAGGGATTTCCAATAAGACACCTCTGAAGACAACATCAGAGTCTGAGTCCTGGAGCATTTATATCATCATTAGCAGCCTACCACCCTCACTGCATCTCTCATAATACACTTTGTGCTACCCAGATACTTAATTGGTATTTGCTTTGGGCTTCATCAACTTTTTAAGGCTAGCAGCGAGTTTAGAAAGCAGTTTTAAGCAAAAATCCACTGTTTCCCATGCTCTCCTCTCAATCAGCTCAAAGCGCATTTAAGCCACGTGCATTCCAGTGTGCAGCCTAGTGCACAGCACCAAAGCAAAGGGAAATTTTTCCCTTTGCAAGGAAGCAAAATTTACAGCTGTTTTAAGGCTCTTTGCTTTACACAGAGATAATACTTCCCGACCACCTCTGGGAATTCCTCAGACCTACCACCTGCAAAAGGAAAGGAATAGAAACTCTGCAATGCTCTGTCAAACTTTTTTTGGCTCTAAACCCACAGAGCTGCTGTTTAATATGCATGGAAGTGGAGAGTCTGATTAATTTTCTCCATAAACATGTTTGGGAATCCAAACACACACACACAAAAATGCTTGCACTGAAAAAATGGTCTGTATGATATTTTAAAACATCATCTCCACCTATGGAGCTCTGATGGAAATTCCTGTAACCTTTTTGTATTTATTTCTTTTCACAAGCATTGATAAACTCCATTTGTTATGTGATTTACTCTGAAAACTTTATGATACTTATCTGCAAAGTAACTACAAGTCAGTAACAGAAAAGCTTGCCACTTAGGTTGTTTTTAAACAGCTGAGGGGAAGGATAGCAGAAAATGAACTATAAGAAAGTAAAAATTTTTGGTAGCTTTGCCAATCCCCTCAAAAGCCCCAAACTCTGCTCATATAGTGTTTGTTCTGCACGTCTACTTAGCCACATTAGTTGTGGCTTATTTTCAAACCATAATATCAAGTATGCTCAAAGAAGAGAAGAAAATTTAGAGCAGGTGATGAAGGATTTATATGTGCTCCTGAACTAGAGAGAAAGGTGAAATTAAAAGAACTTATAGCATAAATTTTTATAAAACTACAATACAAAAAATCCATTGATTAGAGATGGCCTGAACTGTAACAGTTACTGGAGAAGGGCAAAGACTGACATGAGAAACACGTGTAGCGCCCAGGGCAGCAGTGTTACAAAGTTCCACCCTTGCTACACAAATGACCACTTGCTATCTGCTGCAGAATCTCACTACTTACACTGGTATATCTGTAAGAAGGTCTCGGAGAGTTTGTTGGTCATGAGAGGCTCAGGGAGGTCACGGAAGAATTGCTTTAACATGTCTGCTACATCATAGGCAGACTGGCCTTCGTAGTTGACACTGTCTGCAGAACTCTCATTCATCTGACGCAAAGCCTGAATTCTTGACTTCACTCCAGATTTCCTAAACAGTCCAACCTAAACACACATATAAAAGTAAATACATTTATAAGGAATCGAGAAAATCTGGAATGTAAGCATGCTCTTTAGCTTCTTACACATGGGCTATAATTTTGTGGAAATCTTTCCATGCATTAATTATCTATTTTGTCCTATTTTGAGTTTACTTTTTTCAGTCTGACACATGAACAATAAAAACGAACGGAAAGCTGGGCTTTGGGTGGGGCATGCACGTGGAACAAGAGAAGAACAAACCCACCTGATCCAGGCAGTGGTTGCGGAGGTACCGCATGGCTTGCTGAATGCTCTGGGGAAGAGGCTGCCCCGTGCGCTGCACGTTCACTTGCAGGGGTACTCCAAACACATTTCGGTCCTTATAATCTGGCACCTTTATTCTCTTCATAAACTTTGGTACTGCCCTATTTAAGCAAAGGGAATGACACATTAAATTAAACCTCTGTTGATTATTTATCTTCTGTATTCCCAGTAATTTGGAAGGTAAGTGAAAATACGTGAAACACTTTTAGTAACATGAACAATAGTGACAGTATAAATTAGTTAAATCCACTCAGGGCTGGAAAGGGTGAGAGGAAAGAAAACAAGAGTTTCTCTAAGAGAAAGGCTTGACATTTGGGGCAGTGTGCTGCCTCTAAGTATTAATGTGGTGCTACTCCATCAATATTAGGAGGACGAAAGCTACAGGGTAAAACTGCAGGGGCCAGATTGAATTGCAAAAGAGTCAAAATAAATCTTGCGGTCAGTGACCCCTTATAACACTGCTTCTTTAGGTTTCAGGAAAGATGGGCATTTAAACAATGAGCTTTTGTACGTCAACTACTTGTTCTGCAAAGTCCTCAAACTGGGTCCACCACCCACCAGTGTGCAGAACAGCAGGAAACTGATGTAATACATTTGAGTTTGTCAGCTAAAAACTTCAGCTCTATAAACAACCCCTTTGAGGGACCCCCCTCCTTGTCAGCCAGTGACTTTTGTTACCCCCACCTCCCACTCCAATTTCATTGAGAGGCCTTTCCATCTGCTTATGACTCCAAGGAAAAAGTTACTAAACACAAAGGAATGATTTACCCCAGTGTCCCCCAGAGTATTGGTATTATAAAGGGGAAAAAAAAGGCACTAAAATGTGAAAATATTGAGGTCATTTTCCTAAACAGGGAGGAAAGCTAATGTCCTCTGTAACAACTAATAGGACACAGTAGCACTGAAAACAGGGAGACATTTACTATTTCAACCTACACTACAGCTATAAAAACAGTGCATTGGATTTACAGCTGACTAATCTGTTACGCAGTAAAACAGCCCAATTTGTATTGCCATATAGTTAAGTTTAGGGCATTATTGATACATGTATGAATAATACTTGCTTTGTCAAAAAACATGCCAATGGAATGTGAAAAAACACATTGCGATCTCCACTGAGAATCTGAAGCATGCAGGGATAACTGGTCAATACTTATTTCTGTCTTTCAGAACAAACAACTTCTGTATTTAGAAAGACTGACATAATAACAGCCTTTGAACAGGAGGTACTTTGATGCTGAAGCTAAATACTCTCTATGACTCCTGGGGAAGGGAGGAGGCTGGCCTGTGGTAGGGACAAGAAAAATTTTATTTGCGTCCCTTGCCTCCTGAAGGTTACACAGGCTGTAGATATAATAATAAAAGAGCTTTCTATTTCATTTTTCTGACAAAAAAATATTCAACTGGGTTGCGAACACCTGGCCACACCAGAAATTGCTGCCTACAAAAAACTCCATGGTTCTCCCAAACTTTCTTCTCTCCATCTCTTTTGCTAATCGATTTATAGTGCCTTAAAAAGGGAAAACAAAATATTGGCTATTACCACTAGATACTAGAATTAAGAGAAATTTATGTTATTTAATTACATAATTATGTAAAGGAAATAATGCAAATATTTAAGGATAATTGAAGAAAAGCAAGCCTATTAAGATTGGTTGCAATTTGTGCCACTGCTTGCTAACTGCCTCAATAAACAAGTGGTCCTTCTTTTGCTATAGGTACTGAACATCTTCCTCTTCTGAAAGCTGATCTGTACTTCATTGCTTTGGTTCTCTCCCATGTCCCCATAAACACATCTCTGAAGCCTAATACAATTACACTTACGTAAAGGGTTAGTGATTTTAGCCGCATCTTAGGAAACCATAAATCACTGTCAGCACAGGCTGGAGGAAGAAGTGCAAATATGGAAAAAGAGGGATTGGACGGACGCATTACATCTTTCCAAACAGTGCCTGGGACAGGCACAACTGTCATGCTGGCATAGTCGGGCTCTCTATACACAGCACTGTGTCCTTACCAGCTGAAACCATGCTTGTTGGAAGGTGTGTACTTCTCCAGGAGAGCAGTCAGCTTCAGGAGAGAGTACTTCTGCAGCAGGTTCATCTGTGCTACGGACTGGCAGTTGATCTGCAGCGACGCCGAGCTGAGGCTGGGCCTGTGGGAACTCTGGAAGCTGTGCCACCTTAGCTTGTGCCTGTGGAGAAGATGGGAATCAGAGAAAGGGCAGGTTACTGAAATGTCTCTGCAAGACACGTGTAGGAATTAATGCAAATGCACTGCTGAGATCCCTGCCCTTGGCGGCTGCATTCTTCTGAGATTTCACAGGCGTCAGCCAGCGGCGTCTCTGCCTCACCTGGCGTGAGGCAGCACGGGCAGGTGATTCACATGGGAATGTGCACTCTGAGCTGACCCACAGCTCAGTGCTAGCTACACAACCTCGCCCTAGCAGATATCCTCCAAGGGCTCCAACGCCCTTCTCCCAAAGTCCTTTCAGTATTGGGGCAGTGGGAATTCAAAACCTCCATTAAGAAAAAATTGCATGAATTTTTAAGACATATCAAATAGGAACTCTGTGCTTCCATAAGTCCCATTAAGTTTATACAAACAGCTGTAGATGACTAAACGATTTGCATTACTTTTAAAAGAAAACTGGAAACAAAGCCAGAAAGAATTAAAATCCTTGCTCTACTCACAATACAAAATACAGTCATGGTAAAACTCCCAGCAGAATCTGGAGGCCACTGGAACTCCCCCAGTCTCCCACTGTGCTACAATGATCAAGAGAAAGTAATAAAGCCTCATTTTCCCCACAGATTTAGTACCCTAGCATGCTATTAAAAACAGCCTGCTACTGAAAAATGCAATTTTTTGAAACAATCTAAAAGTCAAGGCTTTTACTACACACTGACACAAACCAGAACATACTTACTCTTGGTTCTCCTAGCCAGCTTAAAAAGCATTTAATCCTACTTGATGGCCCTCCCCTCCCATGCACCATTTCAGTTTGAAGAATTATTGTGCCCCAAAACTGTGCTAACATTGCTTTTTCAATGACAACTCAGGCTGAACCTACAAACATAGAGCTAAGAGTTGTAGGAACCACAATCTCTTGCCCAAGCATTTCTCTTGCCCCTAATGGTTTTGGGGAACAACGGAACAGCACATGTGTGCTTGAACACCCACACCTTCTACTGCACCTTAATTAAGTGTGGTGCAGCTACCATAGAGCTGCTCGGGCTGGAGGGGACATCCCCAGGCCACCCCAAGTCCTAACGCTTGGTGATCTCACCTGCTGGAACGTGTCAGCGATGCACCAACCCCAGAGTCTCTCCTGTCCTGGATCCCTGTGGGCTCTTCTGTTTCATTCAGTGAATTCCCTGTACTGTCGAGGTCGCTTGGTGTTCTTCGATCATTATCTACATCAAGGTGAATCTGCTTTGGAGAGGAAGGACATGGGGAGATGGAGTCGAGTGCAGAGTCAGAATCCCCTTCATCTGAGAACTTCTCTGACCACTGGTTCACTATTCTCTGCATCCCTTTGACATGGTATAGGATGTCGTCTAGTTCTGGGAATATATCTTCATTTTCGAGGTCGGCCAGGTCACTTGTACTGGAATACAGGATTGAACCTGGCACATTGTCATAAATACTCAGGCGGCTGCTCATTGAGCTGGAGGAGTTGCGCCTTTTTCCCATGCCCAGCTCTTTAGAGCTGTCGCCACTGTTCTCCCTCTGGAGGGTGAGGTGGCCGTGTCCATGGAAACTTCCTGTCCTCCAGTTCACAGAGGTGTTGTTTTCTGTAGGGGAGAAGTTGCCATTGGAGAGGGCTTTGGGAAAAGTGCCAGGCTTATGATCCTCAGGGATAAAAAACACGGTGTCTTCTGCAAAACTGCCCCGGTTCTTGAAGTTCTGCTCCATCACATCGCTGAACGTTGACTGATTGAAGGGGTCAAAGCCTTCCAGGTACATGCCCACCCTTTTATTGTAGGCACTGAGGCTGCGTGTTCGTGTGACAGGACTGGGTGTGCTGACAGCACTGCTCGTCTCAGACTGACTACTGCTGCTGCTGGTCTGGGTGGAATTGGAGACGCTCCTCTTTCGTACCATAGGGAAGTTGATGTGATTGCCATTGAGGGTGGAAATCTCCACACAGTTAAGTTGTTTCAGTTTATCTTCATCCATGCCCTCCTGCAGGATTGGCCCACTAATAATCAGGCCAAGCTTTGAAGGAGCTTTGCTCTTGCCATGGTGAGAACTCTTGATTTTAAGACTCTCCATTCTCTTCAGCAGGCTCTTTGTTTTGGACTTGGCATTCTTCTCGTTGGCTTTTGTGTTGAAGCTGAAGCTATTCAGTTCCCTGGGCGAGGGCAGGCTGCTGAATGAGTCATCGTTGGCTACAAAATTGCTGGATGAACAGACGCTCACTACTGAGTTTGTCCTGGTGGTAGATGCCTCGCTCTGCAGGGTTGGCTGGTGGCTGCTGGTGCTGCTGATGCTCAGAATAGAAGCCACCTCCTGGCGTTCGCTGAGGTCTGTGAGCACACTCTCCCGGCTTGCTGCGTTTGTCAGGTGAGGGGCTTCTGGGGACGGGATATCCAAGTCTGGTTTTGGAGGGAAGACATCAAACTCTTCAAGCCTCGACCACCTCTTGCTGTCCCTCTGAAAAGTCCACTTGCCACTTATTGCACAAGGTTCATCTTCATCTGAATCTTCACTCTGCAAAGAAGAACCATGAAAGTATTGCTTGCAAACTACTCAAACAGTAAAGGCGGTTGCATTTAAATACAATGTCCACTAAAGTGCTTTAAGCATGACCTTGTTCTCACTGAATTTAAAGTGAAAACAGTCTTTTATTTGAGGGAGAGGAAGATTAGGCCATAAAGCCTGTCACGGGAAAAGATAACATGGTACAGGCAATATATTTTAACTGTTTTTAAATGCAAAAGATATACTGTTCATAAAAAGAAACAAACAATACAATCTACTTTAAATCGTTCTATTTTAAAAAACCCTAGTATCCATAGACTTAATTAATTGGTCACAGTGGATAGCCCTCACATCAATGGAAATTCCTGGCATGCATAACATTTTAAACTGGAGTCAGTCAGGGGTTGGGGTCCCTCTGGACTCTCTCCAAAGCTACACTTTGTTGATAGTGGCTATATGTTTATACTCCTCTTCGCAATTACGAGATGTTTCTCATACATTCTGAATTTTAGTGGCTTAATTCCTTACCCCTTTGGGAACTCTGAACAGCCTCCTCACTGTGACTAATGAGACAGCAAAAGAAGCTCCTGCACTGCTAGAGTGTGAAGGCTCTTACCTGGTCCACTCTTCCTCCCACAGGCTAGCAGCTAACATTTTAAGAATGTTCTGTGAATTCTCTACTTCAGTCTAGCTTCAGGCAAACTTTAACACTTGTAGATAGTGAGCAGCAAGAGCTCACTGACAGTGTAGCACGTAAGTAAATTGTAAATAACATGTTTGAGGTATGAGTAATGCTTGGAGTACAATTACACATACATCACTGTACGCCTACAATCTTTTCATCTAAATACTGAAAGGGAATGATCTTGACCTATTTGGTCTTCCAAATATATGGAAAGTTTCATGTTGGAGGAATAAAACCAATGAAGGTATTTTAAAATGACACCATGAAACCACAAAGTAATCTTTGGTGTTTAGAGTAAGAAACACTAATTGCAACCCAGCTCTATGAACTTCACTTCATTTATTTAACTTGCTTTTATTTAAAAACAAACACATATGAATGCCCCAAAATATAACTATTTGTGTGCCAAGACTACAAACATTCATTCTTTGAAAAACAAGTAAATTATTCATATTTCAAGTAGTTTATGTATGCATACTTCAGATCCTGATTATCTCCTACTTTTACTTTTTTTCTTTTTATAGAACATTTCATCAGCTCAGGAAAATAAGTGAAATACTGTATTTACTTTTTATGACCAAATACACATGAGACACAGAGCAAGCATCATTTTCTTCGCCTCCTAACTACTGAAAACTACTTTTGTCCACGACTCAGATGAAAACCCAAGAATTCTGGCTTACTTATTAAAGTTTTCAGCAGGAAAAAAGTAATCTGAAACTGCCAGTGGATAATAATGATGGTTTGGGGGTGAATGAGATTCATTGGAAGAAAAAAAGAAGTAATTTTAATTTGCAAAGAAGTCAGTGGAAACATAAAGAAACATGTTTCTGCCAGCAGAATTCTTCCCTCGTGTTAAAAAGCTTTAAAAGCTAAGTATTGATTTTATTGACATCAATAACAAAAGGGAATAGGCCCCAGGTCCATCTGCCAGAACATGGGTGGTGAATGAAATTCAGGAAGGACTGAAACAAAAACTAACATCCAGACTCTGGAAGATCTGAGGTTTGGACCTGAAGTCAGGTCTGGTCTGACCTCTAATATCAACATTGATCATTTCACTGTTAACAAGGTCCAGGAAAAAGGATGAGAAATCTTCTGGTGGTCATAAATGGCAATCCAGCTGTCTACCCCTACTTTTAAGGAGTTCCTACATATGCTGCCTCAGAGTGTTATCATCTGGAGCTTGGATGCTCTTCCCAACATACCTCTAACAGATAGGGAAAGAGGGGATTAATTCCTGGTAAACAACCTCAGAGCATTTGTATGCATTCTTGTTAGGGGTAGGGCAGCATTGTATTGCCTTAACTCAGTCATCTTTATCTGCAGTTGTCATATCCCAGGGGACGGTATCAATTACTGATCCCTCCTAGGACACACACAGAGTTTTAAGACAGCTATTGAGTGGTACCTTATTAGCAAGTTGGTACTACCTTACTGAAATTACAGTGGATGCTCTCTTATTTCTCACCCTGCTCCACAGGAATCCTGAAGATTCAGGAAACACTTTTAATTCTTGCTGAGCTCCCTGGAAACATGTAAACTTTCTGAAAAGGTAGCTGTTGTATTCTGAAAATATACTGGAAAGGAACCAATGTGCCTAATCCTTTCCTTTGCAGGCTAGGCACAGTCTAACTGATCCTGTCTACATCACAATAAAATAATACAACTCCAACGTGACGGCAGAGAACCAAAAGTAAAGATGACATCCAAGATGATGGTCTAACATTAAGGTCAGCTCACTGTGGCCATCAAGCCTACTCTATAAAATCCTGCCTGAGTGCAGGCAATAGGCATCAACACCAACAACCTCACTGGCAGAGAAGTCCAGTGCCTTTCACACTGGAAGCAGCATCCCAGGGAAAAGTTTGCTAGACAACCTTTACCCACTGAAAAGCCTTGCACTTTTCACTCAGTGAGACCACAAAAAGAGATGTAAGCAGATTTTTTACTTTTTTTCTGTGTCCTTGCCAGGTTCTACTCAGGTGTAATCCTAAACCAAAGCTAAACAATCTGCTAGATATTTTTTTTTTTTTTCAGTTTTATTAACACATAATGCTGTAACAGAAGAATTAAATGAACTTACCCTTTTCCTGTGGGGACTAATTTCTAGCTTCATCACTGCACATTTGTTTAAAGTATTTAAGCGCCTGCAAAGAGCAAAGGAAACCATATTAAGAGAATACTCCAGTGTTTTGACATAGGCTATTCCAGTTCAAAGCTTTTGTGAAGGCTGTCCCCAAACTGCTCTGCATACAAATAGCCACAAGCATAGTTTCAATTAGAGCCCTAATTTACTTAACTATTAACCCATTACATTTGGCTGTACTCTAACTTCAGAGGGAGAGAAGGACGACTATTTGTCACAATTACCTGAATCCAAGTAAAGAGAAGTTAATGGAAACTTGAACTAAATTGAGAAGTACATCACATCCTACAAATTGTAATCATTACATTTGTTCTAAATAGCAGACATCTGAACCCTGAAACACTCAACCTTGACAGGCTAAAAATAACAGAAAAGTCTTCCAGTTTGACACTGTAAAAATGTGACTATATTAAAAAAAGCATGCTGCTTTAAAATTGTACTTTATAAGCTGAAACTTCCCAGATGAAAACTTATTTTCCACTTACTAGATGCCTATTTTGCTTTTGAACAATGATTATTTTCAATACAGTCCTGGGACGAGATCATTTGTCAGCTTAAACAAAAACTCAACCAGAACACAGACCCAATTTCTGCTTCCTAAACTGAAAGTTTCTTTCATATATAAAAATATTTTTCAGAAGGACTAAAATTTAAACAAAAATAAGTTGCTGTAGCAGCAATAGCTAACCAGCTTCTCTGTAAAATGTGACAGCAGTCTGATACATATCTTGAAGTACTGTATGAATACATATGAGGATTCCTCTATCCCTCAGTGAGCTAATCTGGTCATCTGGTAGGTATCCCTAAAACAACCAAAAAATTATCTTTCTTCTCCTCTCTTCTCCAGTCACTCAGAGTGCAGGACTGAGCACAAGCAACTTAAAGCACAGCAAAAGCTGGTGCTATTTGTGACACAGCTCCAAGGCAGGTTAGGCTCAGCTAAGTGCAGTCTGCCATGGTCTCCTGCCCTTCTCCACCTTCCCAAGAACTGTTCCAAGGACATGGTCCAACTAAAATCTGTGCTGGTAAAGTGTGGTTAGAGAACTGCCAGTGCTATGGCACGGCAAAAAGAAGAAACAGGCTGGACACAATGCAGAAAGCAGAAAAACTGAAGCAGCAGCTTCATGGAAGTGATAGTTTAGCCCTGTGTCAATACTTCTGCTCATGAGGCTGTACTGTGGGTTGGATGAGGAAACTAACTGAGCTGAAAACCAATCTTTCAATATTTCTTGGAGTTGAATTTCCCCTGGGCCAGTACCCTGAGCTGCATGAAGAGTAGTGTGTGCAGGGAGGAGGCACAGGAGTAGGGCTGCCCCTTTCATTAAACTGGACCACAGCCCAAATTCAACAGAAGCAAAGATGAGCTTTAAAAAGCGTAATTCATTCCAAAGGAAGTTGTGTAATTTGCACATACAAATTCATTTGAGTGAAGTGCAAAGAAGAGCCTGTATCTGCAGTTTTGAAAAACTAAAAAAGAAAAGAAATGCTGACATGCCCTATTGCTTCAAATTAATTTTCTCAGATTCATGAAACTTGTACTTGGATGTAGAAAATGTGTGCACAGGGAGAATTACTAGTTTTTTCTCTTTTCCCTTGCCTTTTATGCACAGGATTGGCTGCAGATGGTATTTACACAGGGCTTGATCCTGAAGCCATCAAAGAAAATGGGAAAGCTGCTACTGATGCTTTCGCTGCAGGTCATAAAGCAAAAAAGAAAAGGCAGTTTGATCTATAATTAGACCCAGCCACAACACAGCAGAGAAGAAGAGAAACAGGAAGAATTGCCATGGGTCAAATAGCAGGGCAGTGGCAGGTTACAAAAGTTATCCAGATCTCTCTTTTTTATCCAGATTTCATCTTTGCTCTGAATTTGGAAGGCAAAAGGCTCAGTCCTGCAGGCTGCAGCTGGTGGGTACATGCACAAGTCCAGTGATTTCAGAGGAATTGTATTTATGGTGCGGGTGAAGGGTGAATGTCCCATCTACATGCTAGACACAAAACTGTTTGGTTTTTTTCAAGGGGCCACACAAGAATCAGAAAGCTGCCTCCCTCTCTGCTATAAACACATTCTCCTCTCAAAGTCCTGGACCTCAAGACCAGGAAATATTAAACTGGTTTCAGTTCTATGTTGTGTAATAATTTACAAATTTCACAGTGTTGCAACCTTTGACTTATGCAGAGAGAAGTTACCACTGAATCCCTGGATCAGGCTTTATCTAGCTCCAGCCTGTCTGACCACTAATAAAGACAATCTCTGATTTCACAAAGATTACATCCCCAGACTTCTCTCCTACTCAACTAAAACCCCTGAAATAGGTGGGAAAGGGTAGAGCAAAGACCTTTATTTTCACAGAGGGTATTTTAAAAAAAATTCCTGGCACACACCTCATAAAAATTAGTACAAAGGCAAGATAAAGTAACCTCCAATGAGTGAGGTTAAATTCATTGGCAGTGAGGAAAATAAAGTCTCTAATACATATTTGACATGGATGCATCTCAAAACCAATTTCCCTTTTAAACTTTAAATGCTTTGCAGAAATTGCATCAGGTCTGCAACTTCCATTATGTACATCACACATCCTGCTTCAACTTCTGCTCAAATTCAGGAGTGCCAAGGTCCTTGAACTACACACCACTGAAAATACAGTACAATATGCAAAACTGCCTTCCAAACACATTAGTGTGTCTTAAAATCTAAGCTTACCATTTGGTTTGTCAAGATGAGATTTAGCTATACAACTGTCATTAACCTTCACATACGTTTGCAATACTTTTTAAGCCTATAAGCACATATCCATTTTCTACAGATCTTCTCATCAAATTGATACTAGTTAATAAACCAGTTTCCTCTTCTGGGTCTGGACCTTCTCCTTTGTTAACTCCACTCCCAGGTAGAGGTTCACTCATCATTTCCTTACTGACAGTCAGCAGACCTGCCTCATTCTTTAGGTCCACCTTACTCTGCCCAAACCAGTCTCAGTGACACCTTCCTGAAGAGCAGATAGGAGACAGAGGGACAGGGCAGGATTCCTGCAGACAGCAGTCACAGCCACTTTCACTGCCTGGCTGGCTCAGTCTCCATTCCAGCTATGCCTCCTACCCTGGCCACTCTCTAGATACCTGTCTGGATGACAATATAATATTCTTTCCCATCATTTAGAGAAATGTCTTTGAGTCAACCCTCTCCATAAAACTTCACATCCAGATGTTATCTTGCTCCCAAGGAGCATTCTCTCTTCAAGACATCACTTTTCTTCACTCTCCATGGACTCCTACCTCAGTTCTCATTCTCTTTTACCCCAGCTGTGCAAATCCCTTCCTCCTGAGGGTGACCAAGGCAGCAGGACCTGCCTCTCTGTCCTAGACCCCAAGTCAGTCCATATCAGCCCTGTGTGCCCATTACACAGCCTTAACCTGCTGCACCCAAAACATGGGGGACTGGAGCTTCTCTCAGAAATGAGCAAATGATGCATTTTTATTAGTCTTCTCAGAAATGCCACACAAACTAGTTTAGCCTGAACTTCTTTTAAGAGAGGCAGCCTGAACAGGACAGTAACTATGAAAAACTGTAGTGTGAACAGCTAACTTCTAAATGAAAATGTGGGTTCATGATGTGAAGTCTTTTTTAAACTAGGTACTAGTCAGTTCTATGTTGGGTATAACACCAGGTAATTAATTATGTTCTCATTAACAAAAGCTCTCACCCCATGCACCCAAATAAAGTAATAGCAGTGCAGAATACTGGATTTATGCATTTTAAATTATGATTTTGAATTTGAGGAACTGTGTGTTCTACCTTCAAAGTTTAAAATATTTTCTTGATGGACTTAAATTCATAATTCCACTGATAAAGTCCAGCTCCATTATACATGTAACAAACTGTCATACAACGGCCTTCTTGTCTCAGTGGACAGCCTCTACTTTGGCTCCTGGGCTTTGTCTGCATGTTCTTCTGCAAAGGAGGTCAGCTCTCCACAGACCAAATGATACAAACACTGAATGCATTATAACCAATTTCGTGGATGAGAAATCCTGAAGACAAAAGATTTAAGAAACCTCTTGCATATATAGTGAAACAGATTCCTAGCCATGCATAAGGAGATTTAAAAGGATTTCTATTATGGCTTGCTATGTATTTTGTACTTAGCAACAACCTCTAGGATAAGCATGTTTCAGTACTTAGTTTCATCAGCACATGATGCATCCAGTTATCCACTGGAGATAAATTCCCAGGCATTAATCTACATAAAGTTTTATGAAACCAAGGCCAGCACTGGTTTGCACAGTCACTAAAGAAAGGATCCAAGGAAATTAAAATAAGGTCATCACTTTTACATTTTTAACCCTACATTTCATGGTAAGATCACTAAATGACATTTCTTAGCCATCTCTTACTGCCATATGCTATCTTTGTAGTTCAAGTCTTAACCACTTTTCACTTGAAAATTTTCCTTAAAAAAATATAATGGGGTGGGTTAAAGTTAACTTAATTTTCCTGCTTACATTAATAAGATTATTAAATAATAATTAACAATGCTGTTCAGATGTAAGCTATCATTTAAAATGCTTCAAACTTAAAAAAGAAATCCCTGCCACTGCGATTTCTACAGTCTTTTTAAAACTATTGTTTCACATACAGTTATCAGAACAAGGTAAATAGAACTTCTGGGAAACACTGGCTGTTACACAGAATAGCAGAATCTCAGCACAGACCTCTTACTATTTTGTTACCATCCACTGTGTACAATGTTCACTTAGCTCTGTGCTGAAAGTGCAAATAACTCCCATAGTATTCTGATTTTCAGTCAAGAAATAGCGATAGACTTACAGTTGTGAAACTGCTCAAAGCCTTTACTGAGTAAACCCCTTTACTGTTTACACACTGACTGTGGCATGAGTCAAAATAAACCCAGACTGCAGGCAGAAAGGCAGCATTCCAAACTATGTGCTTCTCCACAGTTTTTAATGAGCTTTGCAAAATCAAACATGGAGGCGTGGAAAAAAAATCGAAAGGTGGAAATGTTGTGATAATGAACTGCTTTTGGCTAACACACATGATAAAAGGCCAAATTCAGACATCTGAGATGGTTCATTGAATTACTTCAATTTTATTTTGAGGTGGGATCTGAATGATTCTGGGTATACTCCAGTGTCAGTTTTAAAGTTATTTTGTAAAAGATAATTCTGATGTATAAGCCACAGGCATACAGTTCAACCTTTAAAATCTTTGTCTCATAGAGATACAGAGTGTGTGTTGCTATTTTCATCAGTGAGAAACAATCCACTACGTTTTTTCCCTTGTATAATTAATTAATCCCAGGTTAAAAAGTATTCTTGGAGGAGAGCACCAAAAGCAAAATATGCTGGCCTGACTGTATTTTGTTTTCCTGGCGAGGGAAGACCATGCTTCTGGGAATCAGCAATAATTTGCATTGCTGTGCTTTCTGTTCAATGACTTCACAAGTTCCAGAGCACATAAATAAGTAGACCAATGCATCATATTTAAATACCCATGGAATAGGTGTTCCACATTTGAGGAAGGCACATCTTGCATGAATTTAACATTATTGAGATTTTTCCCCTCCTAATGACTGGACAACAAATCTGTTTTCTTAGTTTGAAAATCCTGTAAATATTTCTGAAGAACTTTAAATTCCAGTCTCTCTCTTTCCCTTCCAAGTATGGCAGTGATGGCATGAGAACACTATAAACTTAAAGCTGTTCTTAAAAGGGTTTTGTAATTCATTAGAATTACTGACATTTAGAGTTGCACACACCATGCATGCAGTATCCAAACGCATTCATTTTGCAGGCAGTTTGGAAAGCTGCCATACTGAAGGACAGAGCCATAAAACTGCACTTATTTCTAGGTAAGAGGAGACATGAGAAGTTAAAGCTTTTTTTCTTTTGCCATTTAAGATTGTGGACTCGCACTAGAGGAGGTAACTGATGGATGGATTAATGTTAGATGATGTCAGATGGGGCCATTGTTATTGCTTTTATGACCAAACTGGTAATGCTGAGGCTGTAGTTCTGTAAAAACCACCCTGCCACACTCCAGCAAGTCTTGCTCCCTCTTTTTCTCTACCTATCCCTTCTCCTCCTTCTGCTGCTGGCTGTGGGGTCCTGCCCCGTTCATCACACCTACTATGAACTTCATTATGGTTTTGCACTGATTTTATTCACTAACCTAGAAAAGGACTATCAAGACGCTTTCTGTGGGGTGGGCCAGTTGAACTGGTTTGTGGAAGGAGCCCATAAACAACAAAGATGAGTTAATGTGAGCATGTGGCTGAGGGCAGAGCTGTCTTTGGAGTAGTGATAAACTAAGAGATTCCCTTACATTGTCCCTTTCAGCCATACCACGTTACAGGGCAATGCACTGAGGCCAGCATGAGGGTTTGTATATAGAGCTCTTTGTTTATACACACAGCATTTTGTTTGTATGCACAGCTGTCCACCAAGGTAAGAAAGGAGAGTGATGGAGTGCAAAGCATTGCTTTCCTCATACTGCTTCCAAAACCCAGTTCCTTTGTGGGAATTGGTGCTGCAGTTGCACGTGCTGATGGCTATAGCCAGCACAGTTCTGCTTTCACATGCCCAACTTGGGAATTAGGAAAGAGCAAAGAAAGGGGAATAATAAAAAAATATGCCTGTGAAATCCCTTTCACAAAGATTCCTGCCACTCTCCTCCCAACTTTCTTTTAAATAAGATCCCCAAACATTACTTAACCCAATAAGGTATTTTAATGAAAACCACATACTTTTGTGTGCTTTTTTTGGTTGTGCTTTTCCCAGGTCCTTTCTATTACACAGGAAGGGTTTTGTTTCAAAATGCAGTGTGATTTTTATTCACCTACCTGCATAACGCCTCAATAGCATCTCTGTCCAGAAAGTCATGCTCTCGCTTGACTAGAGCAATGTCAATTGGAAAAAGGAGATCTGCAGGAAGAGAAAGAGATCAAAAACCAAAGTGAAGCTTCCTCCCAGTGACCCGTTATTTCAAACAACTGCTCAGCTGCCTGCAGCTGAGCTCATCAAGATGCCAGTGACTGGTGCTTAGGTAAACACATGCTATCACCTCAAATGCCAGAGGTGCTTCCTTTTCATCTACAAACTTTTGACATGCAGCCTTGATAACTGAGAGTTTATACACAGAATAGAGGAAAAATTATTAAAGCAGAGATGAAACAATGGGAGATGGAAAAAGGTAAATGCAAGCTTCCCTATCAGATATCAGAAGTATAAACTGATTCAGGCCAGATTTATTTAAAACAAATATGCAATCTCCATCAAAATACTAATATCTCACATTAAAGAAAAAAGGCCAGTAAATGCCAAAATTCTGTGAAAGAATTAAAAAAAAAAGCCTTGAATCTCCTTAGCCTTTAATCAAGCTATTTAAGTCTGACACTGTTTCATTAATGAGATATGGCTTGAAATGAAAGCAAGCCAAGCTGCCCGGACACCATACTGCCTCCTTCTTTAGGAGATTATTTAGGTAAACAACTGGGAGAGTGAGGGGGAGGAAACAATGTTGGCAGAGAGCTGAAAATTTACTACAGCTCTGAAGCAGCAAACACATATATATCATTTACTGTACTCCACAGATTCCTGACTGTCATACAGGTCCTGATCTGGCATTCCTTGCACAGCTAAAACTCCCACCCAAAGCTGCTGGTTCTTCAGGGTGCACAGAAATACAAGGTCAATCTATGAGCAGACTGCTGCAGTTACACACAATTTCCCTGATCCAAGTAATTGTCTATGAATTTTTAAATTTCTATAGACTAGGAAGAATGAACTGAAATGAGGAAAATAATTAAGACTGATATTAATTTCTAGAAAGGTATTTTCTAACAGAAAATGAACTCTATGAATTTTATGAAATTAATTCATTTTCTATAGCAACAGAAATGAATTCTACGTCCTTATTTTCATAGCATCATACAATGGTTTGGGTTGCAAGGACCTTAAAGTACATCTAGTTCCAAGCCTCCTGCTATAGAGAGGGACACCTTCCACTAGACCAGGTTTCTCTAAGACCCACCCAACCTTGCCTTGAACACTTTGAGGGACAGGCTATCCACAGCTTCCAGAACTGCCTCAGGAATACAAATGATAACATATTCTGCAAAATGCTTGAAATTCTGTATTTTCTACAGAAAATTATGGTTTTAGCAAAGCAAATGGCAAATTGTGGTTTTAGCAAAGCAAATGGCAAATGTTTAATCTCCCATATTAAATGTACACTGCGTGGGAATACTCCATATAGGTAACTTCTCAGAACTCTTGTACTATAGCTACTTGGTATAGTACAAGGCCTCCTTCACAGGCCTCCCATTCACTGTTTTAAGTAGAAAATGCAAGCAAAGAGAGTGAGCACATTCAGCCTGTATTTTTCAGCAGTGCTGATGTAAGTTTTTCCACTGGCAAAGTCATATCTTAAAATGTCCACAGGAGAACGTGTGAGAACTTAAGTGAGAGAGGTGACTTGAAAGAAGCTGATAGTCTGCACAAGACCCTTTTTTAATGCTTAATCTATGCTATTGCTGGCTTTGTTGTTGCTGCTGCCAGGGGGGCTTGCAAAGGACAATGGTATATTGTTTTTCAGTAAAGACAGCTGTCCTTTCAATGAGTATGACTGGCCTTGCTCTCACTGCTTCTCTCTCACCTCTGTGGTCCTTTTGATGTTAGGCAGGACATGCTGTTACAAGAGAGACTTCATGTAAGTTTAGAATCTCTAGGTAGGGCAATGGTCCTACACAGGTAGGACATGTTTTCTGAATGCAAGTAATTTCTTAGGGGATTTATGTCTCAGTATTATAAGAAATCCATAAACCCACCTATTCAACTGAGAGTTTTGTCTCAGTTGTAACAAAAACTGGAAGTACAGTTCCAGCTCCATATCCCAAGAAAATCTTGGCATCTCCATTAGCATAGAAAAAAAAAGGAAAGAAAAAAGAAAAAATAAAAGGAAATTTAATTTCTGAACAGGCAAAGAAAAGTTTTGCCAAGTGCAGCTTTTGGAAGTGCTATTATCATCTCATATTGCAAATGCAGCTGCAAATCAAAGCTAAACAAGATCATTTTTCAAGAAGGTCAGCTCAGCATTTGCTGTAATTTTCAGCAGTTATTCACTGTAATAATGAACTTTCTATGCTCGTTCTTACAAGCAGCAGCTGGAGTTTGCTTCATAAAAATGAAGAGGCAGTAAAGAGTGCATAATAATTTCACTGCAGTGAAAGTAATTTTAAGTAGTGTGGGGGTAAATTCTGAACAATAATATAGATATATAAAAAGCATGTCATACTTTCAAACAAACTTCTATATGCTACTCTGCATCAGAGCATAAGAACTGTATGTTAAACCTGCAGGTTTCTAGTAGGCTGGAGAGGCAATGAAGAAAACAGTTCTCATTGAGCAAAACCTTGTAAAAGCAGACACAAAATGAATGCATCCCAGAGAAGGACAAGTGACTGCAGGAGGCAGCCACTCCTCTGAGGAGCATCTGCACAACCACAGCTCGTATGCTCTTTTTCCCTTCTCAGTGAGCCCGCGTCTAATTCCAACCCAAACCATTCTGAAGAAACACACAGGACTTGGGAATCATGAGGCATACAGACATATCCATGCATATGTAGAATTTCCTACTACTGTTCCATTAGAAGAGCTGGCCAGTGGAGCTTTTGTATTTCTCCAAGACTGGGCTTGTAGCAGTGGCTGACTATGTTCCTTTCTGTTTTAACCAGAGGGAACATACCACAGTGGTAACCTTTACATTCGTTCTATGATGATGTTTGGAAGATTCAGACTAAAACAGAAACCTGAAACAAATTCAAAACTAGTGCATTCTTCAGAGTCTCATTGGGTTTGTTACATCTGTGTGTGTGGTGGGTGGCAGAGAGCAGCCCAGTCCTTAAAAGTCATCTCATGTACTGGAACTTCAGTGGTGCCCCTGAATCTCATTCATTGGTGAATATTCCATCTTATTGTCCAAAAGTTGCTGGGGGAGGATTGAGTTCAGGTGCCTACCTTCATAAAGCTGCGCATACTGTGGGAACCCAGCAGCCCGCAGCCAGTCACAAGCTTCCTTGGCCTCGATTTCTGAAAGAGGACAGAAACAAATCACCCTCTGATTAGTGATCTGCAGAGAAAAAGCTTCTTCTCCACCACTTCTACTATCCCCACTGCAAAATAAGCACAAAGGTTTCCAGAAACTTTGAACTGAGACACACATTTGTTACTCCCAGTTTGCTTTTCTTCTCGCTATCAAACATATCTTAGATTCTGGAAAGTCACTAACGCTCAGCTGCTATTTATCAACAGCTCATCATTTTAATGGTAAGAGAAACAGGCACTAATGAAAACTGCAGCAGTTATGGATTATCCTGTACAGAATTTGTTAACACTAGAAAAAACAATCTGCAATCAACATGAGTAGTGCTTGTTCAGCAAATCTTTTGGTCCTCTTGGCACAACTCCTTTGTCTTGACAGAAATTCCTTGCGGAGCTCGCATTACTGTGCACTTTAACACCTTGTAGATAGTACTGACAGACTCAAGTCCAAGAACAACTGACACACTGTACTGCAGCTTATTCAAGCACTTATTTACTATCCAACAAGAACCTAGTTTCATTGGAAGTCTACGTGGTATTTATGAGTTATTTGGTGTATTACAGGAAGGTTTCCCTCACACTGCCCAAAACAGCATGCCACAAAATGAAATTATTCATACACATATATGTTACACAGAAAGAAAGGAGTATTAGTCTGTGAATAAACCACATACAAATTCATCTTCTACTTAATACAAAGAGATAAAGAGTATGGTATCCTATTAGCTTAAACTAGGAAAATATAAAAGGTACCTAGGGTATTCTCCAAGTGTTGAAGGAATGGATTGGGCTTATTATGTTCTTCAAAAAATTCAATAAAGTGCTACTGGCAGTTTAGCTCCCTGCTTAGAACTGATCAAACAAACAATGAGAAATCAGAAAGAATTAAAGTTTGTCTGGCTTTCATTATATTCACTATTCCTGATGGACCAGGAAACAAAAGCTTCATTATGCACATCTCAGTACACAATTTTGCCACCTACTTGGAGAGGATACTATGGCTACTTGCTGCAGAAAGGGGCCTGCTCAGAATTGCTCCAAATACAGGTTACTGCATACAGAGCATTAAAAAGCCAAACACAGTGTAAGTAAAATATCACAAGATTTTGTCATGCTAAGAAATAGTCTCAGTGAGATATAGGTACACAAATTGGATGAAATGGCAGGCACATTTTAGCATCTCGAAAATGATGGCAACCCCACTCTCATTTTCCAAATTGCTACAATTGCGTTAAAATATTTGTGCTTTGCCAGACTACTTTGCTAAGACACATATCCAAACCAAAGGGTTAAGGTGAGCCAAAACACAACATTCCAGATAAATAAACATCTAAAAATCCACTCCTGTTGAAGTCAGGACAAGCAGGCATTTGTGCAACTTGTGTTTGCTTCACCTTTGGGTTATGGCACCACATGAGAACAAGCACGTACAGACGTATTGACTTAGCTACTGATTAAGACAAGGCATTCTTCAATTCCAATTGCAAACTATTACAAAGTTTTGCTTAAAGTAGTATTTCAATTTCAGTATGCTAAGGAAATATGTGGGAAATTCAATGAAGAAAAAAATATTTGAAACTTGTATGGCTAAAGCAAGAACAAACAAGACAATAGATTAATACTTCAGAAGCAATTAAAGTAGCAAAGCAAAAAATCTGCAACAAATTTTTAAGACTACTTAAAATAAAACACAATATCTTATAGGTTGCATTCTGCAGAAGTGCTTGGATTGAATGAGAATTTTGCTTGATTTAAAACCAGGAAAAAAAATTATCCTAGATAACAAGCACTTGGCAAAAAATGCAGGGAGATGCTTGCAGTGCAATTAAAAAAAGTGTCAGATTCCTTACTACTACAAGCACTCTTCAATGTGTTTAAATATTTGTTCACAGGTCCTTTACTGAGCACCCCAGGTGTATGGCCTGTAAATTATTTCTAGAGCTAGAAAATTATGAATATGCATTCCCTGGACTTTTTTCACCATTCTCTACAGAGGCTTTGTGTATCTTTTCGCAAATGTGCCAGGGACGTTGAGGTTACATTTTATGGGCACCCACCTGAAAATTTGGGATTTTCAGAGCATATTTGCTTTCAAAATACCTTTGAGAAGCTCCCAAGAAGTTTAGGCAATGAAACACCTGATTTTTTTCCTATCTGTCCACAAGAATTGCAGAGAACAATAAAACACAAGTGCACCTGTCCATCGATTAGGGTATGTAAATGCCTAGGGTTGGGTACAAGACAGTGCTAAGTGTTTAAAAGCCATATTTGCCCCATTTTCATAGGGCAAGTTGCAAGTCCTGGAAGTGCAAAGGGTTGCAAGTCCTGTTGCAAGCCCTTGAAAGGGTGAAGGGTTTGGAGTACTCTCCTGAACAAGGGGCCAGGGAGTGCCCTGAGGCCAGGGCTCTCTCCATCCCATCTCCACCCACACAAGCATGGCCAAGAGAGGGACATGATGGGTATTGGTAACAGAGTGGAGGTGGGACCCAAAAGTGGCTCCTTTTGTTCAACTCAGGTTGGCCAAACTCAGGATTCCTCCTAGACTGTACTCCTTTGTGGTGTGACCAGACAAAGGGAAAGGTAATTTTTTAACCCAGCTTTCCTATCTCAACCTTGTTGGCTACTGATGAGCCAGAGTATGAGCAAAACTGTGTATGTGTGTGAAATTCAGGCAGACCAAAATATAGTCAGAGGGAGAATCCAGCCCAAGGTACACTGAATAAGCTGCACAGAAAGCAGAGTACACTGAACAAGCTTCCTCACAATATGAGATAAAATTTAAACAGCTGAGAGCTTGTCTAGGTAAAAAGTTCATTATGCAGCTTAACTGGAATCTGTGCTTGAGAATAATACACATGGTTAAACCTGAGGTTCTGGCCAAATCATTTAAACTACCCTAGAGGAAGAAGCTCATTCCCACAGTTTCCAAATTCCAGCTTCCAGCAGCATTAGCCCTGGGACTCTTGGTTTGCTAGCTGCCAGTTCCATATCCAAGTGGACATGAGAATATTTATGTGCAAGTCCTTGTCATCCTGATCAGTGGCAATCAGGATAATAAGAGACAAAAGAAAGAAGAACAGGTCTTCCAAAATCAGAATTTCCAACTACTTCTAAAAACATTTAGAAGGGATAGAGCATTGAATAGCCTTTGTTCAGTATCCCAGGGGACATAGGTTACAGATAATTATCTGAGCTAGGAACTCACTGCATTTGCTTGGCTGGGGCCAGCTAATAGCCACAGGGAGGAGAGGAAACTTGCAGAGGAACTCTACACGGCTTTCCAACCTATTTTAGGAAAGTCCTACTTCAGCCACGATTTGCAAAGCAATTTCTGATGAAGACCTGGCAGCTGAACTGATAAACTGCTGCAGGCTGGTCTCACTCCCTCCTTCCCACTCCATCCCTGCAGTGCCACTTCCTTTCTGAATCTAACATCCTTGCCAGTTAAAACCTTTACAATAAACTACCACTCAGTATACATTCCAAGCAAGAAATGTATGCACAGACGTGCATCCTGTGCCCTCCCCCAGCAGCAGGAGGTTCTTGTACAAAAAACCGCTGGCAAGAAAGAAATTGTGCTATTATTTCTAAATGTCCTGATACAAAAAAAAAATCCAAAAAACCCAAAAAACCTCTTAGAAAGTAAAACAAAACAAATTAAAAAAACCCCACCCAAATCCCACAAACCCCAAAACCAACAATGAAGTCTTTATTCTTGGTGTCGTGTAAGCAAACAACAGGCAAATGTGTTAAAGAGGAAACAGGAAATTTTTATTGGAACCAGCTTTATTTGTTAGTCTGTTTTACAAAGCAGTCCTCATACTCAAATCAAGGGTAGGAGTTCCTTTTGTGTATGGTTGGGAGCCATTAGTCCTTATTTACCCACTTCCAGAGGGATTAGGAGAACTCAATTCTTCCCCAGAGTAGTAAATGAAAATGGAAAAGTCTAACTTCCCTTTTTGTTAAACTTTGGTTAATCTTGGTTCCTGGCCTTGTAAGTTTGCAAGTTTAGACCTTCAGAGTAAAAATATCTCAATTAACACCTTGTTTGAAACTGCAGTTGCAGAAGGGAGAACAGTAAGTTGTCTATAGTCTTTTGTTTTATGATACCTTCTCTTCTCTAGAAAAGAAAAACCCCACAGTGATGCATTCTTTCAGAAAAAAATCATCATAGCAGTCCAGTTAAGACAGCAACAACATTTACTTTCATTCTTCTTTTTCACTTCCATGAAATAACATGCAATTTAAACACTAGCTCTTTCAGGGTCTTCAGGACAAGGTGCAAAGCAGATGTATCTTTGTACAGTCATGCATTGACTCAATTTTCACCTAAGTGCTAAACATCTTATGAACAGTTTTTCCAAGCAGATGGTTTCCTCTTGCCTCAACTCAGCCACCTTTACAATCATATTAGCACCTCCACACATCAGTTCTACCCATCTCACCTTTTGGCTCTGTTAAGAGAGCAGCTCGTAAAAACCTGTAGTGAAACTGGTAAAATCAGCACTGTCAAAATCAAATTTAAGAAAAAAATGGGCTTCGCTTCTGAAGGTTCACTTCAATGTCCTACATAGCAACTGGTTTTTTTGAGCTTCTTAATTGCATCTTGGTCCTTATTTTTAAGTAAGTTATTCTAGTTGAAATTCACTATTTGACTTTTCTTTCAGAAGAGAGAAAAAAAAAAAAAAACTTGTAGAAATTGAATATAAAATTATCTTCCTGAATTAGTTTGCTGGAGAGGCTCTCACATACAGTGCACAGAATGATTCCAGACTTTCATGAAAGCTGGAGATGAACACACTATCTTCTTACTTCAATGTCTAAAACTCCATAATCTATCTGCCTATTTCCTGAGGCACAGAGGAGCACAGGGAGCACAGAAAGCACAAAGGATTCTTCCCATCCAGGACTGATGGTCCAGTTTAATGGCTGCAAATAGCTGGCATGCTCTTTTTCTGTCTATATCAGAAATTACCTCTCCCTACCTG